TTGCACAGGGTTAGCCTCGAGTTTGTGCAGAATATTCACGTGTTCCAGTCAAGGCCCGTCAAGTTTCAAAATGTTTGTATTGTTGAAGTTGTGCATTCTTTACTTTTCTGTTGGTATTTTTAAATATTTCAACACTGATACGAGGCTAACCCTGTGCAAATGAGTCTGTAATCAAGGAACACAGCGGTAATTTGGGATTCGAAACTGGTCTATTCCCTTTCCGAGGGTCAAAGCAATAATTTTTTTCTTCTTGAAATTTGAAAACATTTCTCATGTCATTTTCGACGTCACACGAAAGGGGTCTATAGCTCTTTCGCTAGTAAATCTCTCGAAAAAAGAGAGGAGGAACCCCCTTTCTCCTCTCTTCAGCACACACCAATTTTGGCTTCGTTGTATATCCAAGTGTAAAGAGCCTCCTTCATATCAGTATAAGGGAGCTTATCAGTATTTTAGTCTCCCAATCTTTGAATTATCGTGGGATAAACTTGGTTTACCACAAATTAGAAATCTATTTGTGTCATAAAACAAACTAGCGGACTACTGCAAATTGAGCATTCTGAAAAGCTAAGCTACTGAGTATATGTATTCTCATAGCCCATGGTAAACCGTGCGAGGAAAATGCCCGTCGTTAACATGACAAAAATAACAAATGAATCCAAAAATATGTTTCTTTATGTTATTTAATTGTAATACTGACCAACCATTTTGTTCGGCTCTTTTTTGATGACGTTGCAAGGCACCTGAAGCATGAAGACAATACAACAATAACAAGGATAACGAATTTGGAGCTATACAAACGAAATCGAAATACGCTTTTTTTTTTTTTGCAACACCAAGAAAGAACTACCTCGTTTATACTGAAGCAACAGCTCTTTCACAGCGCCTCATTTAATGCATTTAATTTTTTTATTTATTTCCAGAGGTTATTCATTCGTGCAATTTTGATGGCACGACCTATCCTTACTCATGTGGATGGCAAAACGGTGCTTCCAACAGTGTTTCCCCCACTGAAAGTTACTATGACTGGATTGAAACAAACGAGGCAGCATCGAGTACAGCAACAGGACCATCTGGTGATCATACCTCAGGCTCAGGTGACCAAAAATAGATAAATAATGACATATATCGCTAGAAAAAAATGCATAGGGCTTGTAAATATTGCCGGGGAGGGCGTGGTGAGGTAGCAATTTTCCATCAAATCATTTATACTGATGTTTTGTTGCCGGTTCTGGGTCCTTGAAAAGAGTTTTCACAAAATCTACAAAGGTTTAAAATTTTAATCACAATAAGTTGGATCCAAAGGAGGGATGCACGAGACCAATTGAAAGCCCTCTAACGGTCCTTTTCAATTTGCCCACTTTAGAATACGTTTATCACAATGCTGTCACGTTGTTGTTATGTATTACAGATAGTTTATGACTTTGCTTATTTATGCTACAAACTAATTGAAAAAAAAAACGTTTCAGAACACCCTCAGTTTATCGTCTATTCCAACCGTCAGATAAATCAGTAACAGCCCCTTATCATCATGTTATTTATAGGATATTTCATCATTCAAACTGCCTATGACTTGGCACCTGGATCGACTGGAACTTACGAGAAGAGTGGTTTCCAGGCAACCAGTGCTGCATGTCTTGACTTCTGGTATCACATGAAGGGTGCGAACATGGGCTCCCTTAACGTCTATGTGAAGACCTCAAGTGGTAGCACTAAAGTGTGGGGTGTGAGTGGGGACAAAGGTTCCAGCTGGTTAAACGGAAAAGTCACCATCTCGAGCCCTGTCACTTACACCGTGAGTATTTGATACAACAAAGTCTTTTTATGCAAATTTTAAGAAAAAATGCGTTAATTGGTTTCCATAGTAACCACATTGATTGAATGCAGCTCAATTTGGGTGACATAACGATAGGTTTCCAATTCTCAGGAGATTGAAATTCTTTCGTTTTGTCCTATATATAAATATATATACGAGTACAACAAATCTATTTAGTGTTACTTTACTAACAACGATGTTATTGCTGTACATTTTTTCCAGATTATCTTTCAAGCTGTTCGTGGTAGTGGTACTGCCAGTGATATCGCCTTGGATGACATCAAGCTGTCTAGTTTGGCCTGCTGATTCATTTCTGTCATTTTCATCTAGTTTACTTACATTATTGCTAATGTATCCATTCTAAACATGTTGGAGGATAATGAGAAGACTTGTCACGCAACAGATCTCAGGTTGGTTCCAATATGGCGGGAAATATTTAGGGGGATGTTATGTAATATATACAAGCAAATAGAAAATAGGATGGGGAAAACGGCTGTACTCATTTGTAAGGAAAATATGTAATTTCGTCTAATTCTTTGCATCATTGATTCTACATTTTAACGGGCAATTAAAAGATTTACAAAACATCAACATTATCTGTTATTCCTGTAACTTAGTAAAAGTATATTGGCTGTATGCTTTAAAATAATATAATTACTATTGATAATGATTATGAGTTGATGATAATAATAATACTAATGATGAGGTTAATACTAATACTAATGATGATGATAATAATAATAATGATGATGATGATGATAATGATAGTGATTCAAATTATGATTATATTTCTATATTTTACACCGGTACAATTACGAGAAACGACTTTTATTTTGAACAAATCATTATTTATTCTTCTTAACTCATTTCTGCTGTTTTACAGAAGCCTATTAATGATTGAAGACAAATCATTTCTACCACGTGGTCCATCACTTACACTTTTTATCTTCATACCTCTTAACCTGTGTGAAAAGAAAATGGGGGCCCAATTACATATTACACTGTGGGTGTTTGAGGGCAAACATAATTTGACTTATTGTTCACACCGCTGAAGTTTCATAACTTCAATTCGATCGTTATGAAACAAGGGCCATAGTTTTACAGTCGTGTCTCAGTCGCACTTGCTGATTTGTGCAATTTCGACATAATAGAAGTGAGTTTGGTGGACGTCAATCAAAGTGTTTCCATGACCTTGTCGGAAAACACAATGTTTTCAAGGCACGCGCCTATGGTATGTCATTTACGTACGCCATGATTGGCTCTACCAAAACCGACTCATGTACATGTCCCGATGACGATTCCGCAAGTGCTGTTGAGAAAGGATAAAGAATCAATACCTTGTCCTCTAAGAGCATGACCCACTTCTGACAGCAATGTCATCTAAACCAATATCTCCAGTGTAACCTAGCCCTCTTTCACCTTCAATGACAATCTGTAAATGAGAAAGTCCATCGATTATCAATGATTTTTTCCATGGCAGTGAAGGGGAAAGGGAAAGTATCATTCAACTTAATCTGGCAATATGGCCGTTCTAGCCAAAGTAATGAATTTAGGAGATGTTAGACAATGGTTTCAGTCTTTGTTATAAGTTTCGCTTTTTGTGTACCATTTATCTTCCAAATTTCATTTAAGCTTTTTTGAAACACATGATGCACCAGTCACGTGGGACACTTACTCACATAATATACTACAGCAGGGTCAGAGTCTCAGTTAAGATCTAGTTAGATGATGGATCGATGACCTATTTGTTCAGATATCTTACCCTAAACGATGACTTGCTTTTGATAGGAACGTTTGCGTTCTTCCATTCGTTCCCTTGATTTCCCTTGATTTCCCATATTTTACTTCTCCCATGTTCATTATCAATGTAGACCGTAAGTGAACCAATGGTATCTCCAAACATGTGATACCAGAAATGAAGACAAACGGCCGTGGAAGTCTGGTACTGTCTACTTAGAAGCCGCGCTTTATTTCCAGCTACGAAGGGATTAGACGATTCTAAATAGATGTAGTACCCTGTAAGATGATAAATGACTCGTATCAAATGACTTGCCAAGTTAATCCTACTAGAAGCAGTGACTTTGTCTGCTCTTTTGCCGTTTAGGTAATATAATCTCTACAAAATCTGTAACTATGTATGATTCCACATAAAAAGACGTTGCACCTTGGAAGTATCGCTTTGATACTTGCAATGCAAAATGAGGAACCTTCGGTAGAATTGAAGGACCACTCTGATAGCAAGATAATTATTAAACTAACCCTTTCATTCGCTGAATATTTTAAGCAATTAAAAATTGATTTTAATTTCGGGAAGAGGGAAATTTGGAATTTCTCTCCATTAATTCATACATTTTCAAGTTGGAATTCTTTTTATTGCCTCTGGCCACTCAGAAACTAGCGTAACGACAGACCCCGTTGATTCTCACAGTCCACCCTTTTAAAACACTACATGCTTGTGCAATCCAGACACCCCTAAAGACATCACACGTTTTCCATCAACCATGACGACGGTTGCGTCAGTAATGTTTGGGTAGACACATATGTTCTGGAACTTTTCTACTTCGCAAACCATAAAAAGCAATCTAAATATACCTAGCCCAGAAGTGTGGTCAGCTGATGGCCCAGTGTTTTCACTTGGTGTAGGCAACTGCATCCACCACCAGTCGAATACGTACCCACCAGGTGCCTTGGAATTTGTAGGATCATTCTTCCATGTGCAAAGTGTATGTTCAATAGACCCAAAATCACAAAAATCATCTAGAGAATCCAGTTAAAGCACAATTAGTGAGAGTAAACGTTTGAGTTTTGTATTTTATTTATTAACGATGAAGGGCAAATATAGTTTTTCTTTTGAAAGTATGGCCTCAAATAAGTTAGCAATTTACCGATTGTTTCTGATGAGGGAGCGTTTGTGGATGGAACCACGTTCGAAGTTGGCTCTGTTGTTGGGACCTCTGTTGGTGGGACTGTTGTTGATGGGACTTTTGTTGGTGGGACTGTAGTTGATGGGACTTCTGTTGGTGGGACTGTAGTTGATGGGACTTCTGTTGGTGGGGCTGTAATTGATGGGACTTTTGTTGGTGGGACTGTTGTTGATGGGACTTTTGTTGGTGGGACTGTCGTTGATGGGACTTCTGTTGGTGAGGCTGTAGTTGATGGGACTGTTGTTGATGGGACTTCAGTTGGTTGGACTGTTGTCAATGGGACTTCTGTTGGTCGGGCTGTTGTCAATGGGACTTTTGTTGTTGGGACTGTTGTTGATGGGACTTTTGTTGGTGGGGCTGCTGTCGATGGGACTTCGGTTGGTGGGGCTGTTGTCGATGGGACTTCTGTTGGTGGGACTGTCGTTGACGGGACTTTCGTCTGGGCTTCTGAAGATGGTGTTTCTGTTGATGTTTCTCCTGGGGTCTGAGTAGATGGGGCTTTTGTCAAGTAAGGTTCAGTTGGTCGGACTTCTTCAGTTGCTGGCTTAGAAGTGAACATGGTGGTAGCAGGTTTACGACTATGGCATAATCCATCGTCAAACATGATGTCATCAAGTGCAATATCAGCCTGGAATGTGGATCCTCTAACAGCTTCAAAAACAACCTAGTGACAGGAAATTCATGATTAAAACGACAAGGCACTTTCATTTACCACACAGTAGCACGCCTACTAATATACATTACCTCATATATATTATAACTTATAATATCTGCCGTGCTCTTCATCCAAGCTGCACCTTGGTCACCCTGCTTTTCCCATATCTTCTTTTTTAAGTTGGATTCTAAGTCCCTTATATAGACTCTAAGTTCGCCTACTCCTGGGCCAAACATGTAATACCAAAAAGTGATGCAGCGACCTGAGCTCGGAGTAAAGCGTCTGCTAATGAGTCGAGTTGTGTCTCCTTTAGTAGCTGGGCTTGAAGATTCCGCAAAGATATAATAACCTTTATGAACAATTAAATCACAATAAAACATTAGTGTGTGTTACCTTTCCATATCGATATAAACAGTAGCAGATACAAGAACTGGATGGTAGTACTTTGTTTTATGACTCAATACTAGCTATATAATACAGGCCGTGTACACCTCGCTTGTCTCAAGTACCTGACTAAAGCAGTCAAAAGACCGTTTGCCCATAACCCTTATAAAATCTTTAGCATGTTTAAATTGAATTATGGTAAACGTAATAATAGAGTATTATATCCTTACCGAAACCAGACGTGTGATCCCCTGGAGGCCCAGTCCCAAAAGTTAGAGTTGGTTTTGACGTTCGTTCCCAGTCTATAGGATTTGAGTCCGTTTCGTCCTGGATCCAGTGACACCAAACACCAGCATCAAATTCGCAATCATCGGGACCTAAGTAAGAAAATTGCCATTTATAAAGTACTATTCAAAACGCAATAGATTTTAGGCAGGTTTCTTACCAAGATTACAATCTTTCATAACACATGGTTGTCTATCAACCCTTTTACCAGTACACTCTTTTCCGCCTTGTTTTGGAGCTGGATCGTCACAAAGCCTCGTTCTGGTATGTGTGCCTTGATCACAAGTCGCACTACATGTTGACCATTCTGACCACCTTCCCCAGTGGCCATCAATAGGAGCTAGATAATAAAATAGAGACCATGAGTCCTCATAATTAAAGAAAAAGAAAATCTTACCGTTTATGTTTATCACGCATCATTCTCATTACAATACAACCTATAGCCGCTATATTGGTTCAAGTCAGCCAGCATGGTGGCAGTGCCTTTATATATTAAGCGTAGCAAGCATCGTGTAGATACTAGACATACAATGCTTTCTCAAGTGGTATACCGTTGAATATTGCACTCGTCAAAGGTATTTTTTATATATGTAAACAAGAGCCTTGACTATTTTATCATAAAGCATAGAAAATAAAAATTATTGGATTCAAGGCGTAGCGCATGATGGAAAGGTCGAAAGGACGAATATACAATGGATTTCCTCCATTCTCATTGGCTGTATTTTCTATGGTGTGGGATAAAAATCAATACATAATGACTGTACCACTGAAACAGTCCTAACATTTAATTAACATTTTAAAGACCATTCTGCCCCTTCAGTCTTCTTACCATTACATTCCTGAGGAGTACATTGAACTATTTGCGTTTGAATGCCATAATAATCAGCACCTGGGCAAAGAGCCTTGTTATGGTCTGTACAATATCGCTGTCGATATTTTTTACATTGATTACATGGTGTAAAGTCTGACCATGTGCTCCATCTCCCACTTAGACCTATAGAGACAAAAAGAGAAATAAACGGATAAGTGAACGAATATGGAAAGCCAGAAAAGAAAGTTTCTTTGGTGCGCACACAATATTTAAAAGAAGATATTTACAACTGTAGGTTTACATACAATTAGTTATGTAAAGAATCTTAACTCCATGAGAAGGACACGTGAGCAGCTAACATTGGAACATTATGCCTAGTTGGATAAAGTCCATTGATCAGATATCGGTTTTTTACTAATATTATCTTTAAAAGGCAAAAGCAATCGTCCCTGGGTGGGCTCGAACCACCAACCTTTCGGTTAACAGCCGAACGCGCTAACCGATTGCGCCACAGAGACTTGGATGACATTAATCTAGTTTCCAATGATCGGATATAGTTCTTCTGCTTATAATCATTAATGTTATCTTCAAAAGGCAAAAAGAATCGTCCCTGGGTGGGTTCGAACCACCAACCTTTCGGTTAACAGCCGAACGCGCTGACCGATTGCGCCACAGAGACTTGGATGACATTAATCTAGTTTCCATTTATCGGATATAGGTCTTCTGCTTATAATCATTAATATTATCTTCAAAAGGCAAAAAGAATCGTCCCTGGATGGGCTCGAACCACCAACCTTTCGGT